AGATAGAGATGTTTCCATGAAGAGATGCGAAGCCTTGGAAGTCCCAGAGCGCAGTTCTACTGTTCTGTAGGGCTGCTATGAGCTGGAATTGACTGGATGCTAGGAGGTCTTGATGACTTAGCTCTCTGCCAGTCTCTTCTCGTTCTTTTTCTAGCAGAGAGGAAACCATGCAACTCCTGACTTCAAGCCCACGTCCGCTCACTGACTCCCACCTCTCCAACTCCTTTCTGACTGACTTCCCCTCTGTGTCTAGACACACACTGCACATTTCTTCTCAGCTGGTCCCATGGGCCGCTCAAATTCACCCACATACAATCTGAGGGCCCCAAGTTTCCCTTCAGACCTGTTCTTCTTCCTGGATTTTCTATTTCAGTCAAAGGGATCATCGCCCACTCAGCCTTTCAAGTTATAAATCCAGAGTCTTCCCAGAATCCCCCTTTCTCCTTTAGGCCCTGTGAACAAGAACCAAATCCTGGCTATTCTACCTCCTGGAGCAGGTACTTAGCCACTTCCTTGTCAAGTCAGCCCCCAGCTGTGGTGACCTCCTACACATGAATTCAGACAGCACGACCCGAAGGGTTTTTAAGGCTTGGCTTTTTGGCACTAGTTCATCGAATCTTCCTCCCTGCTCTGTCTTTGTCTGGAAACTCTGCTGAAATACATTTAGCCTCCTGTCAATACTCCAGCCACACTGACAGACAAGTGGTAGCTGTGTCCGAGGTGTATTGGCTGGGAACTGAACTCAGGTCCCCTGCATGGAAGGTGAAAATCTTACCCCTGAGCCACCGTTGTTCCCTGAAAACCATGCAAGTGTATAAGATAGTTGAGGGGGGAAGTCTGAGTTCCCAAATCTGTCTCCCTGACTCAAAGACTGCAGCGGCTTATAGACCGGAGTACCAGGACAGTGGGATGTGTGAAAGCGTCCACAGTATCATCTCTTAGGCAAATGTTTGGGCCCAGTGATTGGGTCTTGGACTAATTGGCCTAGTTTTGCAAGGTTCTGGAGATACCTTGGCTCCATCCAAAAGGGGATGAATTTTTGAACATAGGTTCCAGGGCTTAAGAAAAGTAAATCTCAGCTATAATTGCAGGAGGGACAGGCAAACAACAGCAGAGGGCTTCAGTATGATAAGGAAGCCTGTCGTAGTTACTCCACTAGCTGATGAAAAAAGGCTTTTCTTTTTAAAATGCTATAGAAAGAATGTTGAGTTTACATTAGTGTAGGGTATTGCGAAAAGTGAGCATACATTAATCAAGAAATTGGCCTTCTGTTAGTACCCTTTAGTTTCAAAGGAGAGTGCTTTTCCTTAAGTTATTGTAAAGAGTTCATTTCAAACTATTACAGTATGTTGTTATGTTCCATCAAGTCTACTATGGCTATGCACAAAGCTCTGAGCCCTGCTCTTCCGTGAGCCAATCTCACTGTCTCTGACACACCAATCCTCCTTCCCCACGTTACTGTGTCAATCCAGCTCATGCAGGGTCTTCCTGTCTTACGCTGTCCCTCCACCCTTCCAAGCATGATAGCCTTCTCCAAGGACTGGTCTCTCCCGGTAACTTGCCCAAATTATATGAAATGAAGCCTCAAAATCCTTGCCTCCAAGAAACAGCTTGGTTTCACCTCTCCAGGACATACCTTTTCGTTCTCTTGGCCGTCCATGCTATGTTCAACATTCTTCTCCAGCACAATACTCAAAAGCATCAATTCTGTCATCCACTGTCCAGTTCTCTGATGCATAACAAGTAATTGCAAAGACCAAGTGCACCTTACTCTTTAGACTGGCATCATTGCTCTTCGACACTATGGAGAGGTCCCTGACAGTAGATTTTCCTAATTTGATTCATCTTTTGATTTCCAGACTGCTGGTGCCAAGAGTGTTGATTGTGGTACTGAGCAAGCTGAAATGTTAATAATGTCAGTCTTTCTCCATCTGTCATGGTGGTGACAATTGGACCAGTGGTGAGAATCTTCTTTTTCTTGATGTTGAGCTTCAATCTATATTGAAAGCTATAGTCATTGGCCCTTTGCAGTAAATATTTCAAGTCCTCCTCAGTTTCAGCAAGCAAGGTTGTGTCATCTGCATAACAAAAGTTGATGAGGAGGTTTCCTCCAATCCTGATGTGACATTTCTCGTCATAAAGTCCAGCCTCCCAAATGATCTGTTCCGAATATAGATTGAAAAGGTATGGAGACAGGACACAGCCCTGACCCACTCCTTTCTTGATTTTGAACCATGCAGTGTTTCCTTGCTCTATTCTGATGACTGCATCCTGGTCTAAGTATAGGTTTCACATGAGCACAATCAGGTGTTCTGGGATTCTCATTCTTCTTAAGGTTAGCCACAATTTATTGTGATCTACATAGTCAAATGCCTTTGCATAGTCAAAGAAAAACAGAAAGACATTCCTCTGGTACTCTCTGCTTCAGGCCAAGATCCATCTGACATTAACAGTGATGTCCCTAGTGCCATGGCTTTTCTAAACTCAGCTGTATTTATGATAGTACTCTGTCAATATACTGTTCAAGTCATTTTTGGATGATCTTCAGCAAGGATTTCCTTGCGTGTGATATTAGTGATATTGTTTGATAATTTCCACACTTCATCAAATCACTTATTTGGGCGTGGGGAATGGAATAACTATGGATCTCTTTCAGTCAGTTGGCCAGGTGGTTGTCCTCCCGATTTCTTGGCACAACCTGGTGAGCACATCCAGGGCTGCATCTGTTTGTTGAAATTTATCAATTGATATTCCATCATTTCCTGGGGCCTTTTTTTACAGCCAATTCCTTCAGAGAAGCTTGAACTTCCTCCTTCATCACCACTGACTCTTGAACATAAGTTGTTTTGTGAAATTCTTCTGTGTCAGCCAATCCTTTTTGGTATAGTGATGCTGTGTAGTCGTGTGTGTGTGTGTGTGTGTGTGTGTGTGTGTGTGTGTGT